ATTATAAACTGATTCTTTGAATTGGAAATCTTAAATTTATAACACTAGCCATCTTGAAATCTCAAAAAATTTTTGTACAATTACCTCCAACTTTTTCTTCTTTTCTAAAAATTTCTTGTGAATAATCTCATTAAATATAATCCTTTTAAAGATTTTAATATTTGTTTTATAAGATTTTAATATTTTTTTTAATATTTGTTTTATAAGATTTAGGGTCACAATACCTCTCTTTGGCTACGCCCATAATAGTTTGACCGCGATTTCTAGCTTATTTTCTACGATGGCATTTATACGCTACGGAGATTCTTTTCGTTCCCCTTGTGATTCACTTAACTAAAGGAAGTTAACCAAAGAGATGTCCGATAAGCGACGAGAAGACTTCGTCCACGACAGACGACGAGCTTTGAAAGCTTGCAAACTTTGACGGATTCTCGACATGTGACGTGGGTTGGCATAGTTAACAAACGTTAGTCGTCGTCTTTGAATCTTCTTAGCTTCTCTTATCGCGGTTTTATAAACTATAACAGATTTTTAAGAAGCTTTCGGGGACAATGTGAACGGTTTGAAAAATTCGTGGCAGTCATTCGTTGTCTTCGACGTATTCGGGAAAAGCTTCGTGGTTCAGCAGAATGTTCGGCGTCCAGTATGTTCAAGGGAGAAAGAGGAAGATTCGACATTCGGGTTGGAGCACGTCCGCCTGGAACATCTTATCGGATTACCCGCACCTTCCTCTCGTCTCGTCCCATCCTAGTTCGCGCAAAGTTATCACAAGTGGTGATAGTTAGTTTGCGGAAAGGCAGCGGGCGTCACGGTTGCCAGCATAGCGCTTGCTTACGACTGCACTAACTTTGTGCACTTCGTTTGACTCCATACATAAAAATTGACACATTGCGCATTTGTTGGTGTTCTTCTTGCCGTGTTTCTCTCGTCGTCTTGATTGTGTCCCTTTTTGAATCGCTCGGTCATTCGGATCTGCAAGTTTCGGAACTAGGAATCAGGATTTTTCTCCAAACTAACTCAATAATGATGATAATAAATTATATACATAGCGTTATTACGGAGATTCTATTAATTTCGATGGGATATATCGCATAATTCATTCGTACACAATCCATCAAATAACTCTATTCCTATTGTATCAAGTTCTCCTATTTTAGTGTTTCTTATTTGATATATCAACATCAGTGTAAGCCGCGTGTTCGACTCGACAACAACAATAATAATAACAAAGCAGTTCAGTAAATAATAATTTAGGGGCGATTTCCAGATTAATTGGATCACCGGAAAGAGATAGAAGGCGGATTAAATCCCTTGTAAATCAAACAACAGATGCGTAGCGCATGCGAAGTCGATAGTGTCTTTGTAATCCACGAAAACGTTGATACGTTGAACTCGGTACGGAATGTGAAAGAGACAGAGAGAGAGAGAGAGAGAGAGAGAGAGAGAGAGAGAGAGGAAGAGAGAGAGAAAGAGAGAGATGTTTCGTAGTTAGGAATTATTTTAGCAGCACGAGTTACCGAGACATGTTGACACAACCGAGGATTTAAGCACTCGAGACCCGTGCCTCGCGGCTGTCGACATGGGATTGTATTCTGAGACATAGATACCAGCGATGAGAACGAGGACAACGCCGTTGAGAAGGCAGAATAGCCATTAAGACTTCGTATAAACAGCTCGGTGTGCTCGCTTCGCGGCTTAGAACAATGTCGGGCATCGCGACTTCTCTAGCGCGATCGTTAATCGCGTCGTATCACTGAACCTTCTCCGCTCGCTTCGGAATCACGATCGTTCCGTCAAGCAAGAAATCGATGGGAACATGTTTCAATTCCATGGACTTTCTCGACTAATTTTACGCTCTAATCTTGAAATCCCTGACGAATTTAGAACCGCATTTTGGAACTTTGTTACCAACGATATTTCCACTTTTAGAATCCGCGTACGTTCGCGTTTTCTGAATCGGCATTTCCTGGAGATGCTAATTTACGGCATAAAGTAAGATAAACCGTTTTGCCATATCTCAGAGAATAAAATTACTCGATCACTTTAATGTCTATTGGATCGTTTCGTCAGATAGGCGTATGATGATCGATCGTTAATTTTTCTCGAGCTGTCGTATTCGTATCCAGATGAACAGCAGGTAAAAAATTGTACATTTATTCTGATACATCAATGTCGCGCTTAACACGTTTAGTTTTTACCATTGATACGTGCCATCGCCTGTCGTTGAACACGATGCGCGGTTTTGCGTTTCCTCTTTACGCGAAGTCACGAGCTGTCGAGCGACCGCAGTAAATTCTCATCTTACTATCTCGCAAGTACGATCGGGTATCGTCGTTCGAAATGTCACTGATATCGATGTGTCGGGAGGATTTATAGTCCTCGTTTATTCCTCTTCCGTTCTCGCGTGCATTGTTACGACTGGAAGGCGGAGGAACAAGTGCCGTAAAAATAATGACATAAAAGTAGCTTCCTCGAGCGATCGAATCGTATTTTTTCCCCGCTTTTCATTGGATACGTTAATTGAATGGTTAAAGGATTACAATTATCTCCATAAGTGAAATTATGAAAATTTACGAACGATAAATCTAACAGTGTATATTTTAATGAAATTTAGTTTTATTATTAATAATTCGAAATAAAGTATTAAACAAAGTATGCTTCCAGAAATATTCCGTCAAAATTTAACACAATTACCGAAATTGGGTTCCCATTTAATTTATGTTAATGAAAAAATATTAATTAATTTTAATGAACTAAAATGACATAAATTAATACTACACTGAGAAAAATTTCTGATTGAAAACGAACAAACCAGAAGATTCTGATCATATTAATTAGAATTCTGTTTATATATCTCAACTACAATTACTGTATAAGAAAATTCTGATGTATCTGATTTTTGTCCTGAATTCCAGTTAATATAACCAGATTTTTTCCTGTAGTATAAGTATATAGTTTAGAGAATAATTCAAAACAGAGACATAAAGGAAATTGAATTATTTGATATTTTTGACAAAGAAATTTATAATATTTAAGTGTTAATAGTCTCACTTCAGTTCTGAAGGATTAATGTAACAAAAATGAGACTCACTACCATTGTTTAATATTTTTACTTTATATTCTTTTTATAATCTACGATAATTTTCAAAGTAACACCTGGTAATAGTGTACTGCTGAAAAATTTTTTGATACACGAACTATTTTCTTTTTGTTTGTAATATCCACATACAAAAAGATGCTCTTTTGAATTGAGAAACAAACTTTGCCAGCGATGAAGATAATACCGAGTCTCATTAACGAGTTATGGCCTTTTTCCATCTGCTCTGTCAAATTTGCTCCGTGTGGCTTAGCATGTTATTGTCGTCGGTCCTTTAAACGGTCTTAAAAAAAACTTTCCCTATATACTATGGGCGCAAAGTTACGACGCTCATAATCTTGCTTTTGCCTTCGCAATACTTTAAGAAATCGAGAAGTTTAATGCGACTTTGCGCGTGATGCTTTTTAGCGCGAAGTCTATAATGCGCGGAGAACAAGTCGCGAAACAACACGCTACCATTTCTTTCTCGTCTTCTTTTTTTTTCTTTATCTCTGCTCACAGCCGATGCCGTCTCGTTTCCAGAGTACTTATGCCATGGAACTTGGGTGGAGAACGACACCGCTTACTTGGTGGCTAGCACCGACGTTGGGCGTTACTGCCTCGTTTACAGCGCATCCGCCGCGACGACAGGAAGTCGTGAACTCTCGGTGACGGGCCATCTCGCTTCCTGTCCGAGAGCCTCTCATCGCTATCCAGTTTCGTGGCAGGTGAACCTCACGTCGTACGGTGAGCATTGTTAATTCCAAACTCGACACGCGACTCCACTCTCTCGTTGGAGTTTCGTTCTTTATTTATGAAAAAATTTACACTAAATAAAAGATATTT